CAGCTTCTCCTTTAGGATTTCATTCTTAGATTTCAAAAATGTAAGTGAATCATTATCTTCAGTTTCTTTTTCCACTGCTTATTTTTCCTTTTTCTGTAGTGAATTTTATCAAACTAGTATTTATAACTATTTCACAGTTTAGATTCCCTTTACCAATTCATGCCATCTCACCTTGGTTTATTTCTTGGTTCATTGTTCCAATTAAGAGCATACTTCTTTTTTCTGTTTAAAGAGCATAATTCTATTGAACTTTATCTAGAAACTAAATAAAGTATTGACTACACTCAGTTACCTGAGACACCTAAAAGTAATATTTATTTTGCATGCAAGGATCCCAATTAAAGTTTCCAGGGAGTCTGATATGAACATTGCAATAGTCCAAATGCATTTTATTGAAAACTTACCTTCTTTGCTTAATATTAACCTTCTAAAGTTTAGTGCATATGAAATAATTTATATTATACATTATATTAATAAGTTAGCCAGTATCATTTTTACAAACTTTATAACTTTATTTTATTTTATTTATTTATTTTTTTTTTTGAGTTGGAGTCTCACTCTGTCGCCCAGACTGGAGTGCAGTGGCCGCTCCCGGCCACCACAGCCTCGACCTGCTGGGCTCCGGCAATTCTTCCACCTCAACCTTCCGAGTAGCTGGAACTACAGGCACGCGCTACCACGCCCGGCTCATTTTTTTGATTTATTGTAGAGATGAGGTCTCGCCAAGTTGCCCAGGCGGGTCTCGAACCCGCGGGCTCAGGCAATCCACTCACCTCAGCCTCCCAAGGCCCGGGATTACAGGCTGAGCCACCGAGCCAGGCTACTTTATGACTTTAATTGCTTAAAAATTTTCACTGCTTTTCTGTATTCTTCAATTTATTTTATAAAAGAAATAAAATACTTTTGCTTTTAGTACTCACTATAACAAAGGCAGGCATTAAGGAAAATATACATTTCTTTCTTTGAGAGATTGATATCTAACAGATCCTAAAGTACAACACAAAAATATTTTCCATTATCTTTGCACTAAGAATAAACCTGGTGTTGGACTAATGAAATGTTAACCATTTTTCCTCCTTCTTATATATCATTGAATATTCAGCTGTCCCTTGAACATATTTTATGTAATACCAATCTATGAGAAGCTTAAATTGACTTAGACTAAATCAAATTCTCCCAATTCACATAAGAGGAAATTTAAGGAAACATTTTACAACATCTTCCAACTGTTTCAGATGTGTTTATCTTAATGGATTTAGTTGAATGACTTATCCAGAGACATACTGGAAGTGTATATGAAAAGTATGACTTGTAAAACTCTTATTTCAGCATTCATTCCACAAGTTAAGCATTTCCAAACTAGTACTTGGAACAGTTTTGATGTTAAGTATTTTAAGTCAGTACCTCAAAATAAATTCATTTGTTGAATGATTTAATGCTTAAAAACTCCTAAAATTTTTTTTTTTTTTTTTTGAGTTGGAGTCTCACTCCGTCACCCAGACTGGAGTGCAGTGGCCGCTCCCGGCCACCACAGCCTCGACCTGCTGGGCTCCGGCAATCCTTCCGCCTCAGCCTTCCAAGTAGCTGGAACTACAGGCGCGCACTACCATGCCCGGCTAATTTTTTATTTATTGGAGATGAGGTCTTGCCAAGTTGCCCAGGCGAGTCTCAAACCCGCGGGCTCAGGCAATCTACTCACCTCAGCCTCCCAAAGCACGGGATTACAGGCTGAGCCACCGAGCCCGGCTTTCCTAAAATTTAATGTTCAAATTTTTCTTGCTTATTTGAAATTACAGTAGCTTCGTCTTCCTGCAGTACAGTACCCACCTGGATAATACAAGGGGACCACACCAAAAATAACAAAAAAACCCAGAATTGATTTACAAAGAATTGTGTATTTATTCTTATATGTTTAAATGTCAGTCACCTTCAAAATGCTCTGTTTGATGCAGTACACCTATCAAGATGCCTTTTACACTGCTCAAAACAGTTTTGGGATTTGTCAATTTGTTTTAATGCTTCTGCCGTTTTTTGTTTCACCTTTTCCACATTGGAGAAACGTTTCCCTTTGAGGACTTTTTCCATCTCTGGTTTAAAAAAATTTTTTTAAAGTCTCTTGGGGCAAGATTGGGTACATAGGGAGGGTAGGGCATGGCGGTCATGCCATTTTTGGTGTAAAACTGCTGGAAAACTTAGCACAGTGTGGGCAGGTATGATCGCAAATCACCCATCTTGAAACGGGCATTTGTGTTGCAAGAATCCCCCCCCCAAAAAAAATTCGCTGACACTAAATCCAACCTCTCACAACAATGCTGGCTGGTACACATTTCTATAGGTTCCTAAAACACTTACCTAGCAAGGGAAGCCTGTACTATAAGGAATCTGTCCTCCAAAAACACAATTCTGGTTTTTGGGGGTGTTCCCCCATCCTGTTTGAGAATAGAAAGGAAAATACAAGTTATCTCTTTCTAATGTTTATTCACTCTCTGGGATGCTCAACAAATTAATCTTCATTAAGTAAGATAAAGTATTAAAAAGAAAGTCTCAGCCCAGAACAGTGGCTCATGCCTGTAATGCCCAGAACTTTGGAGGCGGAGACAAGAGGATTGCCTGAACTTAGGGGTTCAAGACCAGCCTAAGCAACATGGCAAGACTTCGTCTCTACAATAAAATCAAAAAATTAGCCAGGTGTGATGGCGTATGCCTGTAGCTCCAGCTACTTGGAAGGCTGAGGCAGAAGGATTGCCTGAGTCCAGCATGTCGAAGCTGTGGTAGCCATGACCATGCCACTGCACTCCAGCCTAGGCAACAGAGTAAGACTCCTACTCAAAAAAAAAGAGAAAATCTGAGTTTCTGAAAAAAGTGTTGAAGTTGCTATTGGCTATACTAATTCTAAATCCCTTGAAAAATTAATGATTGTTTTCAGAAAGTTGTGTCAGACTGCTAAAATGGAAAATAGCATCAACATGTACCCATTCTAAGTAAATCCTACTTCAGAACATCTGTCAGAAAACTGCTTACCTTGTTAACATGTTAAGAGGTTCCTTTCTGAAATTTTTTTCTTGGATGCTGGAGACACAAAATTTTCATTTGAAATATATTAACAGATGTATTTGGTGTGAATGATAGAAGGGACGATGTATTACTTAGTACAACCACTAACACTTTTCTTCAATAATAATAAAAACAATAATATAATAATAATAGTATGCAGAGCTGTGTTTCTAACCCCAGAGAAGCCAAAGACCTTAGTTTAGATACTTCATAGAAATCCCTTAATAAGCGAATCCTCCCTTTACCCTCTGCCGATACACCCAAGGAATCTATTCTTGATTAATTCACCCACACTAGTTAATCAAATTCAAACATTACAGAAATATGTTGACACCAATTATTTACCAAGCCAAACATGCTTATCATTCTTCTCCTACCTTTTCCTTCACCCCTCCCCATCCCCATTAGTTTTTATATTTCTTTAACCTCAGAAGTCATCATTCCTAGTTTATATCAAAATTAAGACTTTAGTTCACCACTTTCTGAACTAACCTCAGTGCTAGGCTAAAACCACAGAGTGCTTCTTTTTGGTTCTTTCAAGCTTCTCAAAAGATAATGAGGTCATTTCATTTAATATAATTGTTTATTTTATTATGATGTGTTTAACATATTAAATTTTCAAATGTTTTTGTTCTCTTAATATACCTCTTCTCTGATTTTGTTGATATAAATATAACAATAAAATATTTTTAAAGTTTGTCTTAATTCATGTAATATCCTTACTGGTTGGCTAGCTTTAAAATGTTGCCTTTCTTCCTAGTCCACACTAAAATCCAATGAGTGTTCTAATTGCACATGACACCATAGAAAAACCTTGTCTACCACTTTTAAAAACAAACTGTGAATGTGAAAATGTGTTTTAATGTGACTGCTTTATAAAGCTCAATAAAACAGTTGTAATCCAGAAGACATGACCTAAATATTTGTTAGACAAATGGCATGTAGCAGCAAAATCATCTTTATTTTACTGTAGTCTGACAGTATAATATATATAATCACAAACTGGATTGCAAAGATTTTATTTTACTAATTGCAATTCACTGTAATAATACTCCATATATTTAAAGTATTTATTTAGAAAAAGCTGGGAAATTAGAGCAATAACTTGAAATACTTGGAGAAGATATTAATTTTAAGAAAAACAACACAAGTTTTGTCTTAAAGAACAAATAAGACTCCTAATAAATCTTTTAAAAAGAAAGATTAAAGAGATGTACTCAGGTGATAAGGAAAAAATGAAGTAAAGTCATTTTAATAATAGCCACAATGACCTTAATTGAATAAAATCTAAATATCCCTAAAGATAGATGTGTACTGGTTAGGATTTGAACTTAAGAATTATCAGTTTAGGCCAGACACGGTGGCTGAAGCCTGTAATCCCAGCACTTTGGGAGGCCAAGGCGAGTGGATTGCCTGAACCTACAGGTTCCAGACCACCCTGGGCAACTTGGTGAGACCTCGTCTCTACAATAAATCAAAAACTAAGCTGGCCATGGTAGCGTGTACCTGTAGTTCCATCTACTTGGAAGGCCGAGGCTGAAGGATCACCTGAGCCCAGCAGGTCAAGACTGCAGTGGCCGTGAGTGTGCCGCTATACTCCAGTCTGGGCAACAGAGTGAGACTCCGACACAGAAAAAAAGACTTATCAGTTTTAGGCTGGGCATAGTGTCTCATGCCTGTAATCCCAGCACATTTGGGATACCAAGGCAGGAGGATCACTGAAGGCCAGGAGTTCAAGACCAGCCTAAGCAACATAGCAAGACCCTGTCTCTATATTTAAAAAAAAAAGTAAAAGAAAAAATGATCAGTTTGGATGAGTTGTAATTTATTACTATATCATATTAGGATTCTCCAAACCTCCATACTTGTCAGTGTATAGCATTTGAAAGTACAAAAAGATTTCTAGTTATGATTAAGATATTTTTTTAAATCTACCATAGAATAGTTTATCACATGTTCTTTAATGTTGATTTTTGAATGTCAGAATAAATGTAATACCATTGTAAGCCACAGGGTGGGAGTGAAAGGCAAGAACTTGTGATGAACCAGCTTAAATACATAATTGCACTATCTTTATAAACCTTTTAAATGCTTGCTAAATGATAAGGAGCTGTAGCCTGGTTTTCTTCTACTAATGCAGGTGCATTCCTCAGCAGATAATCTATAACAAAAGATAAACACATTGACTTAAATAGATAGGCCATTATTAGAATATCAAAAGAAGTAAACAGACTTTTTTTTGCCTCTAAAGTTTCTGGTCATATGAGGTGTTTGGTGATAAAAGTAGCAATTTTGATCAATAATTGAAGTTGAGAAATTCCTTTAATTACCACTACTGGAAATAGTAATTGAAGAAGTTACCAGAAATACTTCATGTTTTCACACTTTCTATCTTTAATTTCCTTTTTCCTTGATCTCACTTAAAAAAAAAATTATATACATATATATGCTGCCTGAACTTACTTTTCAATAAGGAAGATAAATTAAAATTTACCTTTGTGTTTTCTGCTAACTCAGTCTCATTTCCATTTGGAAGCAATTTAAAGTAGTAATCATTTTGTATCCTTAAGGTAAGACGACAAGAAATTTCTTCTCCTAGAAAAGAAACTTCACCAAGGAATTTTGGCTTTCCTTTGCTCCATGAAAGGTAGCTCTACATTCCTTTTTGCCAACTCTTAAAAAGCATAAATATTGAAATATGTTTTATGTTTATATATTTTAAAATTTTAGCAATTGTAAGAAAACAGCAACCTTTTAGAACTGGAAGCGACCAACTCAAGAATCCTCATATTAAAATGACCTTAAATAAGTCACGCGGTTCACAGCAGAGCTGGATCTAAAAACTGAATTATCTGAAGTTCTACTATTTCAAAAGACCAGTATTATGACCTTATTGTTTTATATGGATGGGTCCTAATGTGAACCTTACCAAAGTGAGGAATATTTAATTTTCTATTTAAGATGTTTACAGAGGACAAAAGTCAATGCGTTGAAATTTCTAATGTGAGAATAAGACAACCAGCATCAGTGTGATTTATGAATAAGTAGATACACTAGTGTGTATTATATGTATTAGAACTTTTAATATGTCACTTACTTTGTTTCTGGTCTCCAAAATTGTATTTTGGGATGTTTTCTAGGAATTTAAAATAATTTGTTTAACTTTTAAGTTTTCAATGATTATTTTGTGGTACATAAAACAGTACTATATAAGTTTAATTATGATAAAAAAATACTTAAGGTTATACCCTTATATTTTTAAAGCATTGTTTTGTTTTCTGGGGTTTTTTTAGGGGTAATATAGAGAAGACCTTCTGGGATCTAAAAGAAGAATTTCATAGAATATGCATGTTAGCAAAAGTACAAAAAGACCATTTAAGCAAGCTTAATATACCAGACATTGCAACAGGTAAGGTTTGATTTAACTTACAGTAATATTAATTTTATTGGTTGAAATTTATTTATTTTTTAATATATATATTTCCAAATGGTTATTAAGTGCTAAGGATCTGTTACTTATCCCTCACCCACTTATACTTGAAAGAGTAAGTGCTATTTAAGTTCTACAATGTATTACATATGTATTCTTGGCTTTTTCTTCATTGTATGTAGACTGAATTGAAAGACAAGATTACTAATCATCTTAACGAAAAATTCCACCTTAAAAATTACAACATAAATATAGGATATATCTCTCAGAGTTTTCAGTTGTTATTTGGGTGTCTTATTAAACATTAATTCATATGTTAATAAGGGACCTCAAAGACATACTATCATATAATATGAGCTAAGTAAAATTGTAACATCAGCGTTTGTTTTTAACTTCTACCTGAAAGTTCATCGCATACACTAAAGATAGATTTTTTTTTTAAAGACAGGATTTCACTATGTTGCCCTGACTGGAGTGCAATGGCTGTTCACAGGCATGATCTTGACACACTACTAGGCTCAAGCAATCTCCTCTCACCCCAACCTCCAGATAGATTTTTTTTTTTTTTTTTTTTTTTTGAGTTGGAGTCTCACTCTGTCACCCAGGCTGGAGTGCAGTGGCATGCTCATGGCCACTGCAGCCTCGACCTGCTGGGCTCAGGCAATCCTTCTACCTCAGCCTTCAAGTAGCTGGAACCACAGGTACACGCTACCACGCCCAGCTAATTTTTTGATTTATGGTAGAGATGAGATCTCGCCAAGTTGCCCAGGCTGGTCTTGAACCCATGAGTTCCGGCAACCCTCTCACCTTGGCCTCCCAAAGTGCTGGGATTACAGGCACGAGCCACTGTGCCTGACCCCAGATAGATTTTTATAATTTGGTTCAAGAAAAAAAAATGCAGCCCTCACATTTCCTAAGTGCCAATTCTGTTGAAGGCACAAAACATAAATTTAACATAAAAGACAACTTAGAAGGAACATCTGTTTTACACACGTGTTGCAGTATATTTGTTTAAAGCTCCACCCTTCCCTAAAATCCCAGACTGGCTTCCTGGTATTTGCTTCAGTAGTTCAATATGAGAGATTGAGTCAGACAATCAAACACTTCTGTAAACAAAAGGAATGTAAACTGATCATTTATAATGATAAATTCTTTTTTACCCTTGTGATTTGAGCTATTCTGCAGGTAATTCCCAAGAGATATGACTGACAGTTTTCATTCTTAGAGATGTTGTAGCAGTGCTGACCAGCACCCTTTTAATTAAAGATCACTTTCTGTTTCTTACAGCTCTTACAGCTAGGCTATTTAAAATCATTTCATAACATAAATTCACTTTTTGCTACTGCCACTGTTTTCTTTTAAGAAAAGTTACACAATGTGATGTTAGAGAAACAAAACAATCTTTGTAGAGAGACATAATTTGTTTCCCCACCTTCCCAAAACAACTTTATTTCTTCTATTTAATATTTGTCATTTTCATGAGAATTGGTCTTTTGTACAGACTAAAGATACTAGGTGCCTCTGAAGTAAATGAATTATTTCTATTTAAGATATGTTAGCTGTAGAGATGTAGTACCTAGAATTCATAAACATTCTTTTCTTTCTAGCATTCATCAACATCTTTTCAAAGCATTATAATGGTGATATATTCTTTGTTATACAGAGACCTTAGCTCATTATCAATGGCGGAATACTTTGACCACTTTTAAATTGCCCAGGTCTAAAACTGAGTATGTATCTGTCAACTAAAACACTGAGTGTTTAACTTCAATTTCTTCTCTACTAAAACTGCTTCCTAACACTGTTCTTATGCTTTATATAAAAAGATATATACATAGGTAAATGAATATACTTATCACAGATAAGTACATTATTCTCAAAATATTTAGATCTTTTGAGCTACAGACTCCACTGAAAGTTGCTGGGTCCAAAGAGGAACCAAATTATCAAATAGTATGCTCTGACAGAGTAGTAGACCAAAAGGAGAGAGAAAAAATGTCTTTTAAAAAGATGCCTATTTGGGGTTTCCAAGTATATTTGCTACATTGTATAAATATATAGAAGAACTATTTCAAATACAATTTGCATAATATATTCCAAAAAGGTATGTGATTATTGTCCCTTTGTTGTTTTTTTATTAAAATTTTATTTTTGTTGAGTTTTGACTGGGTGCAGTGGTTCAGCTTGTAATCCCAGCACTTTGGGAGACCGAGGCAAGAGGATTGCCTGAGCCAGTGGTTTCAAGACCAGCCTGGGCAACTTGATGACACCTCATCTCTGCAATAAGTCAAAAAATAAGCCTGGCATGGTAGTGCATGCCTGTGGTTCCAGCTACTTGGAAGGTTGAGGTGGAAGGATCACCTGAGCCCAGTTGGTCAAGGCTGCAGTGACTGTGATCATGCCATTGCACTCCAACCTGGGTGACAGAGTGAGACTCCAACACAAAAGAAAAATAAAAAACAACATTTCTATGTGCCATGTACTGTTATCATCATTATATTTGTGTTAATTAATTTAATACTCAAAGTAATTCTGAGGCAGTTACTATTATCCCCACTTTATATATGAAGAAATTGGTACACAAAGAAGTTTAAATCTTAAGTTTAACTAAGATTCCTAATGGTACTAGAAATCCAAGTTTAGAAAACTTAAAACTCAAATGAGTCACATGAAAGCACTTGTCATCCTGACACATATTGAGAAATTTGATCAGGTGAGCAAATATCTTTTCTACTTAGTCTGTTTTAAGAATACTTATTTTTGCAAGGAAAACAGTAAAACGAGAAACATATTCAGATTTCCAGATTTTAATTACAGGCTATTCATTTAGAACACTTCTCAGTATAATTACCTTGTATACTGACAAAAGAAAAAGACCTGATCGTAGTTTGAACCCTTAATCCTATATTCTTCTCTCCTAATCTCCATTGAAATAGGACACTACTTTGGGAACTAAATAACCCTTTTTTAAAAACATATTTGTGTAAACATACATTTTATCTTTATACTTTCTCAAGGCTATTGCCATATGTGGATGAGTAGGAAAAAAAGTACTAAAAAAGAAATATATAATTCTACTGACTTGGCATTTTTTTCATGAATTACATCTGGTTATTTAAAAGTAAAAATCAAAAAAAATTTTTTTTGAGTTGGAATATCGCTCTGTTGCTACAGTACTAGAGGTGTGCACTACCACACCCAACTAATTTTTGATTTATTGTAGAGATGAGGTCTTGCCAAGTTGTCCGGGCTGGTCTCCAACCTGCAGGCTCAGGCAGTTCACTCACCTGGGCCTCCCAAAGTGCTGGCATTACAGACTGAGCCACCGAACCCAGCCAGAAATGCTGTTAATGTTAATAGACGTTGCCATTAGCAGCAGCAACACCAGATTCTTCAGCATTCACCCTTTTCTCCTTGTGAAGATCAGTTGATCGGTCTTCCTCCTTCTCAGGTGTTACAGAATCTGATTACCTGAACAGTTTTCCTGATTTGTTATTTGCAATTAGCAAATATTATCTACAAAAACAGTACGATTTCCTAGGAGTTTCTGCCACTTTCAAATCTACTGCCAGGAAAAATGGCTACTTGAGAGGGAATCTTAGAGATGAAAGAAATCCAGCTAAACAATTGAGCTTAATCTCTATTGCTATACCACTCCTGGTCGCAGGCAAGGTACCTAGTTAGTAGTGTTGATTATTATCCTAGGCTCTGGCTCTTTGGGAAGAGATTACAGACTAGTTCAGAATTCATTTATTAAGCGCATACTATGTGTCAGGCACTAGGCAGGATTCTGGGGTAAGTGGAAAACAAAACATAGTTTAGGACTTCAGAAAACCTATTTTAATGTGAGAAGTACAGTTAATGTGCTAAATGATGACCACATATACGACGGTGGCCTCATAAGATTATAATGAAGCTAAAAAATTTCCTATCACCTAGTCACATTGTAACTTATAACACAATTTTTTTTGTAAATTTAGTGTAGCCTAAGTATACAGTGTTCATAAAGTCTACAGTAGTATACATTAATGTCCTGGGCCTCACATTCACTCACCACTCACTCACTGACTCATCCAGAACTTCCAGTTTATGGTAAGTGCTCTGTACAGGTATGCTACTTTTTATCTTTTACACCATATTTGTACTGTACCTTTTTTTTTTTTTTTTGAGTCGGAGTCTCACTCTGTCACCCAAGCTGGAGTGCAGTGGCACGCTCACAGCTACCACAGCCACGACCTGCTGGACTCAGGCAATCCTTCCGCTTCAGCCTTTCGCTGGAACTATAAGTGTGCACCACCACGCCCAGCTAATTTTTTGATTTATTGTAGAGATGAGGTCTTGCCATGTTGCCCAGGCTGGTCTCAAATCCATGGACTCAGACAATCCTCTCACCTCTGCCTCCCAAAGTGCTGGGATTACAGGCATGAGTCACCATGCCTGGCTTCTGTACCTCTTCTGTGTTTTGACACACAAATACCATTGTGTTACAGTTGCCTGTAGTATTGAGTACAGTCACATACTGTACATATTTATAGCCTAGGAGCAACATGCAGCCCAGATGTGTAGTAAGGCTATAGCATCTAGGTTCATGTAAGTATACTCTGTGATGTCTGCACAGTAGCAAAATTGCTGAACAGTGCATTTCTCAAAACATATCTCCATCATTAAACAATGCATGACTGTATAACAGAGTGTTCAGTCCTCAGGACACCCAAGGATCATAGGAGAGTCATCAGAGACACTTGTGTCCAAGCCAAGATATGAAGGACAAATAAAAGGTAGATGAAAGTAATGGGAGGAGACACTTCAGGCAGTCTGCACAGCATGTGTAAAGGTACAAAGATAAAAGAATATAGCTGTTTTGGAGAACGGTACAAAGCTCATTTTAGCTGGAGTATGGAGTGAAAGATGAACATGGAGAGGTGACCAGGGGCTAATTATGAACGACTTTATATGCCTTTTCTAAGGTCTGAGGGCCTTGGAGAGCCATCAGAAGGTTTTATTAGGAAGGTAGCATGACCATATTAGTATTTAGTATTAGTATTCTTGAGAAGGAGGAATGGAGGGGAAGTTGCAATGAAGAGAATAGATTGGATCTCAGTTCAAAGGTTATATTCAATAAGAAAGGATAGCATGGATGAAAGAAAGGCCATAGGTATATAACAGGATGAACCAAAGAAGTTGGTTGCATTGTACTACACATCATATTCAAACAGAAAATATCTTGTATTGCAATCTGCAGGGGCAAAACAGAGAGAGGGGTCATGAGACTGTCAAGACCAAAGGAATTTCAAGAATCTAACATTTGTTAAGTGCCTAGTAACCTGGGGAAACACTTTGCAAGGTGCTCTGTAATCCTGTCTACTTAAACTTGCATCATTGGTAAAGTTTCCATTTTGAATGTGCAACTTTACTGATGATAATCTTTTTAAACTGCCAATTTAAAAAATATTTAGCATTTATTCATTGAATAAAAATACGTACATTAACAACTTCACTGCTATCTTGAAAGGATGTTATAGAGCATAGTTTTGCTTGTTTAAGTGTTTCCAGGTTATCAACATGGAGAGTACTGTGATCATTGTTTTTTTTTCAGTTGAGCAATATAGACTGTAGTGTTTTCTGAGTTCGTCTATCTGCTCTTTTGTTTTTCTTGTCCCCTTCCTTGCTTTTAGCTCTTGTTGTTTCTGTGTCTGTCGTTAACAACTCATAATCTCTCTTAATTTGCTCTTCAAACCAGCTATGAGCTAGGGAAACATCCATCAAGCTTGTTAGAATAAATCTAAAATGAGAATAGGAGCAAAATTCATTCATATATCTGTGAACCTTGTGGCTTTAATTCTGACTCCTCAGAAACCCTACTTACTTTCTAACTTTTGACTATGTCCTAGAGAGCTGAATTTGTTAGATAAGTAGCTTTCAGATAAATGAGCTACAGAGGCCCTTGTATCTACCTGATATCTCTCTGATCTCTACAGAGGCCTTTTTAAAAAATATAAGATGAGAAAATAATATATTCACATGCAGTTTTTTTTACGTCTCCTGCAACTTCATGCTTCTTTCGCCTTTGCTGTCTTCCTTCTCCCCAGCCCCTACTACCAGTAATCCTTCATGTGGATTATTGAGAGCAGACAATGGATGGCTAAACTGATTAGAGATATTCTTAGTTACACAGTGATGTTGGGGTAATCAATGACCTAATTTATATATATACCTAGTAGGAATTTTCCCTTTAATGGTTTATTTGTCTAAGCAAACTCATAGTTGCAACTTCCATTACTGACAAAATGTTTAAATGTATACATTACAAGCAAATGTTTTTCAAGTATAGATCAGTATAACTGTGAACAAGATGCAAAGCTTACAGCACAAGACCTAGGAAAAGACAAAGTAGTTAAATTGTGAATAATAAGCTATATTCCACTGGAGACTTCTAATATTCTATGTAAGATGGTAGCAAATGTAAAAATTCCAGTTGTCTTCAATTACTATAAAAATCAGTAGAAAAAATAACACTCATCTGTCCAAAGCCGATCGATTTTTAAGAGTGATTTGAATACAATCAGAGTGATTTGAATACAACTGTTTCTCTTTTGTGTTATTTTCCTTGCAGAAACACAGTGTTCCATGCCTATACAGTGTACAGATAAAACAGATAAACAAGAACCACTATTTAAACCTCAGACTAAAGATAATACAAATAGAGGTGCCCCATGCATCGCCTCTGTCACACCAAGAGGACTGGGCCGTGATGAGGAAGACACCTCTTTTGAATCACTTTCTAAATTCAATGTCAAGTTTCCACCTATGGACAGTGACTCAACTTTCTTACATAGCACTCCAGAGAGACCCGGCATCTTTATTCCCCCCACATCTGAGGCAGTGTGCCAAGATAAATTTAATATGGAGCTCAGAGGCAACTTTGTTAAGACAGAAGAAACTTTGTTTGAAATTCAAGGAATTGACCCCATAGCTTCAGCTATACAAAACCTTAAAACAGCCGACAAAACAAAACCATCAAATCTTGTAAACACTTGTATCAGGACAACTCTGGATAGAGCGGCTTGTTTGCCACCTGGAGACCATAATGCGTTATATGTAAATACATTCCCACCTTTGGACCCTTCTGAGGCACCTTTTCCCTCACTTGATTCCCCGGGAAAAGCTATCAGAGGACCACAGCAGGTAACTGTTTTGCATTAACAAATGTATTATTATGTGTGAACACACATTTTGCCATACATGCACAGATATGTGTCTCTTTCAGATTATTGGACATCTTTTTTAAACTAATGACTAGCCAACATTGAGGCTTCAATAAAACATGCAAGTCCTTTAATAAATGCCATGAAATTATGTAAGATGAATATGATAAACCTGTTATGAAGCACTTGAAAATTTATGGCAGATTTTAAAATACATGTAAGCCTTATCCTTATCATGGTGTCACTTTCTTAAATGCCTTTTTCAAATCTTGTTTACCAGCATCAGTATTATAATAGGATTATCAGTATTACAATAGGACTTTTCATTAAATTTCATACTGTGAAACAATTTTTTTAAGTTTAAAAGTCTGTGTATATCATACTCATCTTTATAAGAATGCACAGTTTTCCATAAGTAAATAATTGTACCATAGTATTTCTATTTAGCCAAATAAGTAAACTGTCTTTCAACTAATAGTTCTATTACATTCTCAGTTACATAGTACATAGATCTGTAGGGTTTGGTTTTGGTTTTGGTTTTGTTTGCTAATCTGGCACTGAATAAGCAGCCTAATATATTTTTTTAAGTAGTCAGCACATGGATGATTTCAGTAAATATCTTAATATTTCTAAAGGTCACAGACTACTTATAGCCTCCCCCCCATCACTACTGCCCTCCGTTTTAAATTCAGGTTCTATCAAATAATGATTATTTTACTTAAAAAAAATTATTTAATGCCTGAAAGCAAAAGAAAATATATAATTTTTACAATAAACAAGCTCATGAAAATACAGATTAATGTAAATGTCTATATAACTTGCAAATATTTGATTTCTCTTTGCCTTGAGATATTTAAATTTAAAAAAAACACTTCATTAATGCCCTTTGACTTTAAGTACTCTTATAGGATACAGACTTTTATCATCATGCAAAAAAGGCAATAGTCAGTCTGTGGTATATTTTAGTAGTGGGAAAAACTAGGCATAGCTGACAATTTTTAATTATAATCTCACTTATGTTCTACATTGTATTTTATTTCACATCATGATCTCAGTTATAGTTGTTACTAAATGCAACAAATTAAACAATTTCATTTATTGCAAGTAGAATTCCTGTGTAGCTGAGCAGTGCATCAGTTCTGAGGCTTGTTAGTTTTTTCTCTATTATATCTCTTGTTCTTTTACTAGTTAGTCTGTGCATTCATGTTTCAGTAGATGGCACCCTGCATTGTACATTTGCTTTTTATACTACAGCAAGGGAAACAGCTGGTATGCGATTACAACTTGATAGAAAAGTATTCAGCTTAAAAAATGCAGGAGAACTGGTGTTGAGCTGTCACAAGACATGGGGCATAAGGTTAGATAATTGATATTTTGGCAGAGAAAGCAAAGACATTAGTTTGTCTTGAAGGCCATGATACAGTTTAGGATTGAAAGAATATTTCTTAAAATGAGTTTTTAAAAACATTTTGCTATTTTATTTGTATTAATAAAGCTAATATGGTAAGCACAGAATTCCTGAGTTGTTCATAGATAGTAACAAAGAGAAGTGAATTTTTGGTTACATATTTCAAATTTTTACTTTTTTATCAATTGTCACTGCTAAACACCTCTTTTATACGTTCAGCTATCAAAACAGACTAAAATATATCAGCTTATTTTTGTTTTATGTAATTTTCTTTTTTACTTCTGCTGAGTCAGTGATTGGGGTCACAACCAAATTTTGTGAAGAGATCAAATCTGAACTAATACCTCTTGATAGAGAAGAATAAATACCAAATTTGAAGGTAAACTGGCATTGGAAGACTACCTTACCAAATTTAGAAGCTAAATTGCTTCCAAGTTAATTTCTTACTATTTTATAGATCTTAATATGAATTATCTTTAATAATCTTTTATCTTATGGCCATATCAATGTCCCATTAGAATGCTTTGTACTTTTTTCTTTAAACTGCAAACAGTAAAACATTTCAATCTAATTAACTAACTAGATTTTTATTTATATACTCACAATTATTATTTTTTTATCATGGAAGAAAGATTTTTCTAAAGAAAATTATTTTATGCCAAATTTTATAACATCTATTTTAAGTATTACTGTTTTTGTGATAATACTACCATGTCTCACTAAAGGAATAAGCCCTCCATACTGATATTTGAATGTATCTCAGTGCTTGTATACTTACACCAATTGTACACAGCTGTCCAGTAAAATGTTTATAACAAGACAATGATATCATAAAAACCAAACTTTCAATTAGTAACAATACTGTTTATGTAAATTGTTGGTTAACCAGAATGAAAGAAGTTAGGAGAATGAAAAGTAACACTGTGTCAGGTGCTAGACTAGGCTATGTAACTTTAAAAACATGTTAGTAATAGTAGTATTAAGAATTTCTTTAAATTTGACTTTTTGAGGTACTTCTCAAAGTATCAGAATTTAGCTATGTCAGGATAATTTATCTGTGTCTTGATAAGAAAGAAAATTTTTAAAATAATTTGTTTTATACAGTTCAGGAAAATAAGATACTGTCCAGTCAACAGACATTTATTGAGTACTTACTATTAAACTAAATGCTATTTGCTGTCCTTCTAGACTTTTTTTTTTTTTTAAAGGATAAATGCACTTATAAAAGGGTGTTTATATGCTGGTTGCAGTGGAGATAGTTCTGTTAAATTATGATTTTCTATACTTCTTTAACCAGGAACTATTGACAGATTTGACTTTATTCAGCCACAAGAAAGAGTAAGGCCAAACTACCTATTATATAACAGGAACAAAGTAAGAAGTCAAAAGAATGCATCTGTTAGATTTTGTTGAATAATTCATATAAATATTTGAGTTTTAAAAAATAAAAAAAAGATCCAGGCTTGGTGGCTCAGCCTGTAATCCCGTGCCTTTGGGAGGCTGAGGTGAGTGGATTGCCTGAGTCCGCGGCCCGGCCGCCCGGGCAACTTGGCGAGACCTTATCTCAACAATAAATAACAAATTAGCCGGGCGTGGTAGTACGCACCTGTAGTTCCAGCCACTTGGAAGGCAGAGGTGGAAGGATCGCCGGAGCCCAGCAGTTCCAGGCTGCGGTGGACGGGAGCGGCCACTGCATTCCAGTCTGGGCAACAGAGTGAGACTCCAACTCAAAAAAATAAAATAAATAAAATAAAATAAAATTTTTAAAAAAGCTGATCAGTAAATTTTTTTAGTAATTCAAAAGAAAAATTGTTTAAATCAAAATAATGCTGATTCATGTATGATTTATTTATTGTGTATTTGCTTACACATAATAGTGAAATTTAAATTGTTTTTAAGATGCCTTGCACATATACACATACACGTCTAGTGTATCATGTAATTCATTAAGGTCTTATAACTTAAGGTTTTTATTAGGGGAAAAAAAGGGTTTAATTTAACAGTCCAAAGTAACTATTGTTCCATAACTACTGTCATTGTGATCACTGGGTATTAAAATGTTCTGGTGCTAAAGCTACAATATTTTTAAATATGTAAACATAAAATGCATGAATATTATATCCCAAATGATTTTTAATCAGTTTAATTGTGCCCTTTATGAAAAAAGGAATTGAGTCATGTCTTTATGCTGACTTTATGGAAAAGTAATTTTATTTTATATTAGGGAATTAAATATATTTGCTCATACATAACTCATTCAAAAAATTTGAATTGGAAATTTAATGCTATTTGATTTTTAAGAGAAGATGTTTTTGTTTATTTGTTCCTGCAGCCTATTTGGAAGCCCTGTCCTAATCAAGACAGTGACTCAGTGGCACTAAGTGGCATGGACTCAGAACTGCATATATCTCGAGTATGTGAATTCTGTCAAGCAGTTTTCCCACCATCCATTACATCCAGGGGGGATTTCCTCCGGCACCTTAATTCACACTTTAATGGGGAGACTTAAGACAATTTGAAAACATACATATCAAGTTCTATATGATGATTTGGGGTCTGTAATACTATAAATACTTGATTGTAAACTAAATTCAGGATCATTTATAGGAAAATCTAGTTTCACAGCTATTTGAGTTTTTTTCCAGACTTATTTTGTAACTTTCATGATCTTTTAAAAGATCATTCTTTTATTTTTGGGGGAAGTAAGCCAAAAAAAAAAAAAGGAAGAAAAGCAAAAGATCATTCTATATAAAACTGTAATTCATTGTATTCATGTTTGCAGTGTTAATACCATAATTCAAAATTATATATTTGACTCACATTATATATTTGACTCACATAGTTATGTAATCATAATTTATGTTTGTTTCAAATATCTAAGTTTATTGCTTGAATTTCTAGTGAGATCCGTTGAATTTGGTAATGTCAAATGTTTATAGGGGTTTTTCCCCATGTGTTTTTATTGAAAATTTTAGGTTATTTTTGCTATAGGTGATGTTCTCTTTGAACATATAGCAAATAGCAGATGTGTAATGTCTTAGCATTTGTTGCCCAGTGATAAAAATCACTGGTAGAATTATTTAAATACATCAGATTGTTTTTTAATAATATACATGGCTTTAATTTTTTCTAAGTGTATAGCTACATCATGAAATAAATTAAATATTAAAAGAGTTACTTATGTTGGGATCATTAGTGTGTTCTTTATTGCTGAGTTTAAAAAAGAATGAAATAAATCACATTTGGGGGGAAGTTTATAAAATTTGTATTTCTTTCTAGTAAACTGAAAAGAGGGTGATGACCAGATTTGGTGGCATTTATTACAATAGGTGGATTATTTTAAATTTTAAAAATTATTTTTCAAACTGAACTTTCTAAAGAAAATTTGTTTTTAATGGGAGCAGATTTAAAACCCTGCAAGTACAATCCATATTTATTAATTTAGATTAGGAATGTTCACCTTCTTGTTGAGAAATGTTATTCATTGTTAGCAGCCTGATTGATAGCCACTGAAAGACATTTGAGAGAGTGGATACTGAATTCAGAAGGCTGCAAAATTTGCTTAAAATAAGACTTCCCTTTCATTTTCTTCCCTCTTATTGTTGTCTTTTGGGTTTCACTTTCCCCCTGATTTTTAAAAATGTGTGAGGCATGGCTTCCATTTTATGAAGTAAACAAATGAAAGCCTTCCTGAAGCAAGTAGTGTAAGCTGGAGGGTTTGGGATAGGGGAATTTGAGCAGGTCCCTGCACCACAGTGAAGAGCCTTAACTTGTGGAAGAATGAGAGTGGTGCCTCAACTTCTCAGGATGCCACGCACATCACATTGACATCTTCCTCACCAAGGTGACATAGTGATTATTAGGTATTCACTGTGAAGGGTTCTGAGGCATGTACATCTTTCTTTCATTGCCACTGGGGCTGAATGGAAATGCCTAGACAATTATCCAAGTCTCTTCCCTCCCCCCTACCACCCACCCACCCAGCCTCCCCTCTCACTCCTCCCACACACATATACAAAATTAAAAATAAAAACTTCCCAGCTTGTACCCAACCAGAATATACCACTGTACCTATCTTGTGAAAGGGATTCTTTTTTCCTCTACTTTTCTGGAAGGGAAGAGCCCCTTTTACAGAGTTGACATCTACTAGCTTGCTGACAACCAAAGGAAACCCTGCAGCCCAGAAAGTGACTCAAATGACCCTTCTTCTTCATCCACCCCCCCCCCCCACTACTTTTAGTAAGCGCAGGGAACTCTGTTTTGGGGGGGTTCCTGGGGTACCCTAAGCTCCAACTTCAGGACAGAGACCCCGTCAAGCCACGGGAGGCGGCTGGAGAACAGGCCCCTGTCCCGCTCCGTGGAGACAGCACGGGCCACAGCTCGAAAGGAGGGTGGGCACCCACCGGGCCTCTCCCTTTGCCTCTTATTACCGAGTCGTGCCGGGGCTGGCTCTTGGCATCTGCTAAGCGTGGCCGGATAAGAACAGCTCCCAGGTAAAAAAGCCGCACACGCGAAACGCTGAGTCTGAAAAAACCACCCCCGCCGAGGCGAGGCAGTTGTGAGCGGGATGCCTGAGAAGTGGGAGGTGAATGTCCTCGGGAGGGCCCCCCTCCCCCCGTGCAGCTTTCCCCGGAGGCTGAGGCTGCTGCCAGCGGGGACATCTGCTTTCTTACACTCCAGCCTGGCTCACCCCGCCCCCTCAGCCCCGGGTTGCGTGGTTATTTTACCAACACGGGGGGAGGGAGAGCTCGAGGAGGTAGAAAAGGGGAGGATGGAAGCTTAGATTTTCTTCCCACTCTCTCCACGTCCCCTCCTTTCTTCTGCACATCTTTTAACCTTCAAGGTGAAGACTTTATACACAGGAGACAATAAGCGTGTCCGCTGGCTCGCAGGCCGCCTCGGGCTCGCGGGGCTCCACCCTCCCGAGCCCGGCGGGTCGGCGGCTGGGCTGGGTGCTGGGGCCGGCCGGGTGCGCCCAGCCCGTGGCACCTTCTCTCCCGGGCTGCTGCCTCGACAGCTGCTTGTAGCTACAGTAATTAGACTGTCAGTGCTTGTTAGAGGAGAGAGGGGAAAACACGCTTCTGACAGCAGATTCCGAGACTCCCCAGTTTGCTAATTTCTCAGAGATCTTTAAAGCATTAATTGAGGTCTCCCCAACTCTCCCCTCCCGTCCCTCGCCCCAACTCCTCCCTTCCCAAAATATCTTTAGGAGAAGCGAATTCTCTGCGCGTGGAAGCCGTGTTTCCCGCAAAACTGCCAGCCCGCCCCCCCGCTCACGCACACGCACCCTGCTTGACATATACACACACAGGCACACATGTACACGCGGAAGGTTAGCTCGGCGGAGGACGCGCCCAAACGGGTGCCGGGATTGCATTTAAAATAATAGTAATAAATAAATAAACCAGGAAGGAAGGGGGGGAGGGAAGCAGAAGTCGGGAAGAAAAGAGAAAAGCAGCAGGCTGATTACGAGGTGTCAAAACTGCCAGGAGCAAGAAGGTGATAGCAATCAGGGGTGAGAAGAGTGCGGCATTCGTGCGGGGCAACTAATTATCCGTCTCATTTGAGAAGAGCAGCATTTGAGGCAGCAGCGTTCGCCTGCTGAACGGTGACAGATTGGCGCGGAGGAGAGGGGAGGTGTTAAAACAATGGAGCCGGGCGCGCGAGCGCTGCTGCATGCTAATCAGCCCTCCCTCCGCCTGCCTGCCGCGCTCCCTCCTTCCTCCCGGCCTCCCTCCTCCGCGCTCCCTCCTCCCGCCTGCGGCGCTCCCTCCTTTCCAGCGGGCCCGCCGCCGCCGCCGCCGCCCGCTTCCGGCTCCCTCGCTTTCCCGCGCGTCCTTCCCGCCGCTGGCGCGTGGAGCCCAGCCGCCGCCGCCGCCGCCGCCACCGCGTCCCTCGGGCGGGCGCCCCCCGTCGGCCCGGCCGCGCGCTGCCCGCGCCGAGCGCCCACTCCCGGGCGGAGGGGCCGGGCGGGGCCGCGGGTGCACGCCGGGCGCAGAGGCCCAGGAGGCCGCGTCCTGGCGCCGCTCGCTTGCCGCCGGTGCCTC